ACACCCACCTGGCCCATCTAATTTCCCTGTGGTGGAAAGACCAAGCGGGTGAGTCCACTGGAGCAACAAGAGTAAGCTTTAGGATTGCAGAGAGGCAGTGAGCCTGCCTTCTTCACAACAAAGGGGTACTTAATTTAAGACCTGAGGTGTAAAAATGTATAGATTATCACTGTTCTATATTTTTTTTTTTTTGTACTTTTTAGAATAAACACAAAGGTTACTTTCAAAGTCAGCCTTTGTTTTATTTTTATTACCAAGAGCCAAACAAACCAAAAATATCTGGTGGGTGGTAAAAGGGAGGTGTGACCTTGTGGAAAGAGCTGGATGATGTTCAGGTTGTGTTTTCATCATAACAAAAGGGTTGACTCTACAGCCAGCCTTCCTCTTTTGGCAAGATCAGGCCAGCTCTCATTCTGAAGGGCTATGGGAAAAATTTCTCTTAAAGGAAACTGCCCCAGCCCCACAGCAGCTGTCACAGGGCAATAGTACCATTTCAGGTCAAATAGTGAGGCAGGAAAAAAGGAGGTCATGACTAAGGACACCTATTGGCATTTCCCTTCACTGTCATGATTGGACTCCCTGGGTGGTAGGATACTTATGTGCAGGTAGCAAGCAATGCATGGGACGGAAAGTGGAAAATCTGCTGGTGGAGGGAAATTTGATTGAAAAAACAAAATGTCTTCCTGCTAGTTAGAAAACAAAAGCTACAAGTTTAATGTTGTGCCAAGACACTTATTTCCCTGTCCTCGTTAAGGAGAGAACAGTGATTGCCTTGTCAGCTTACACTTTTCTGGAACAGCTGAGTGTTAGGGTAGTGCCTCAGGACTGCAGGAAAGGCGTGCATGCAGCAGAAAAATAAAAAAGCTGTTTATGCTTTTGGAAGTTGACAACATTAAATGTGTTGCTTGTACTCATCTGACTTTTTGTGAATTCCAGATTAGTCAGACTAAGGCTCTGGAGCTCCAAGAAAGCACTGGAAATGCAAAACACAACTTCTTTCTCTATTACCCCTCACTAAGAGAGTGGAGGCTTTGGCTGGAACTGTCTATTGTCAGGCATGGATGTAATGGACTTTATAGAAAAGCCAATTTCAGGTAGGGAAAAAAATGACAAGGCTGAGTCTCAAAAGGTTTCCTAAAGCTTCTGAAGAAGATTCAAAAGACCATTTTGTAACTAGAAGCACCTCTAGTGTACTGATCTTACTATAGATTATGGTGGTACATACTCGAAAACTAGTTAAATCCTAAACGGACCTAAATGAATTCCGAACAGGCATTATTAAATTGGACAACTATGGATTTCGAGAAGTTTGCACAGAAGGTTATAGCTATCAGATATGTGATGTGAAAAGCATTTTTCACATTGGAAAGTTATTTTTGCATAGTAGGTTTTCCAATGTTTCTTGAATTGCATATGACATAATATACTGAGCTCTACAGTCCCCTGAACATTGGCTGCCCAATGAGGTCTTTGGGATGTCACGCTGCAGGGAACCCTAGTTTTGTTTCCTAATAAAAAATATGGCCACCCCATTCCCCACTTCCCAGGTTCACACAGAGCTTGACTACCTCCGTGAGAAATGACCCTCCTGTAGGGCTCGATGACCTTCATGTCAATCCGCTGCTCTTGTTCTCCAATCACCACTGTCCTCCACAACCGGTTGTCCTCCCGCTCCTCTTCTGCCGTATATTCTGGAATAGACTCTGATTCTTGGCCAGAATCTTTGTTGGCTGCGGGATCCTCTGGAAATGAAGTACAGAGCAGAGCTGAAGGAGCAAGACCCTTACAGTTGAGGCAGTTCAACAACTAGCTGTCTCCTGGCAGAGTCAGTCAACCTGCTGGAACTCCCCGTTTCGTATAAGTCCTGCAGAGCTTAACGCCATCTTGACCACATAAAGGACACTCAGCAAAGTCTTGTTATTGACTGACTGAACAACCAAATCCATTGCTAAGGCCAAGCTGAGGGTGGGAACAGATGCAGGGCTAGAGCTGTCTTGTGTCAGCAGTGGTCCAATGGGTTGGTACCAATTAATCCTTGATCATACAGGTTGAAGACCTCAAGCCTTTCTAATAGGGTGAAAGGCTATTTACCAGGCCCAGATAATCTTATTTTCCTTGGGACACATTTCCTGGCATATCCTGAGTACTCAGAGTCTTTTGGAGGCCTGAAATTTAGTACCATGATGATACCGCTAGCCTAGACCCTGCTCTGAGACTCTTACAAAGGAGCTGAACCCCCTTCCCTACTGGGAGTGCATCTCAACATAAATTTGATATTACTTCCTATAAAGTTTTAAAAATATGCTATAGAAAGATTTTACAGTCAGCAAGAAACAATGAACTTTGTAGACTAGAAAAGGCCAAAAATTCTCAAGACTCCTATTTGTGGATGCATAAGGCAATAAAAAAGCCCACTGAGCATCTTGGGGGAGAAATTTACTACCCGCTCTTGTGTATCCAGAAAATGAAACCATGTTCTATTTTTTAAAAACTAATAAGCTGCAATTGTTTCCATTTTTACTTTAAGTACCAGAGTTAATAATGGTTAGTCTTTGTATGTTTATGTAATTTGAAGGAAAATATCATTTATAACTTTCAAAAGAAGTTTGTGAGATAGTATCATTCTTAGTTTTCCACTCATGGAAAATGATCTTTGATTTACATTGTACTTTGTATTCTTTTGTTGGGACTTTGATGATGATGGTGATAATACTATTAGTAGCAATACTTTATTAAGTATCTACCATGTATTAGGTACTGTAGTAGGTATTGCAATAGATATGATGCAGATACAAAAACTAATTCTGAAGTAGTTATCAGGTCACAGAGTTAGTAAGCAAATATAGTCAAACCCTTACCTTTTCTACTTTCCTAAGCTATCACATCGCATTGTACCTTGAATTTTACTGTGAGGCTGTGAGATCCTTAGGTTAAGAAACTGCCTGAATTACCTTTAATACTCACCTCTACCAACCCACTCCACATTCAGCCTGGAAACCTGCACAGAGCACTCAATAAAAATTGGGAAGGTGAGTGAATAAATAAAGCTCAGACAAGTTCCCGGAAATATAGGTAATCTGTAATGGAGTCACAACAAAGCCTTTATGTTCCAGAAGATTCTGCAAGACATTCAAACATGTCTAATTACCTGTGACTTAGAAGAGTAAACTGAAGTCCAGTTGGGAAGCAATCCTAGGCTTTTTTTGCCAACACTAACAGCTACCACCACCTACTGAGCCTTGCCTCACTCTGGCTTCTTCTGTGTTCCCACCAGCACTCAGCAGCTTATCAAGGATGGAAAGCAGCAACCTTTAGCTTCAGATCAAGCATTGCATCACTTGTGCAAATCTATCCATCTGCCTACGGAATCCCTTCCTGCTTCTCTCTTCCTACTAGGGTTAGGGCCCTTGAACACTCATCTTAGCTTCCTTTCTGGAGCCCAGTTTTCCATTTGGTCTCTGTGCCCTCAAAACTCTAGACTCTGATGTGGGTTTGTCTTTCGATGCTCCTGTACACACATGCTCTCCCCTGCGATGAACTCACCATCCACCAACCCTTCTTCTTCTGGTTTGGGACTTTGGGGCCTGCTCTAACTTAGCCCCGGTAATCTGTATGGGATTGTTTTGTTTTGTTTTCTGCATGCTTTTAATGAGGCTACTTCATTAAAAAAAAAAACTTTTGTACACTGTATTCTTTTGTATTCTTTTTTCAAATTATAAAAGTATAATTTTCTAATTATAGAAGTAAAACACACTAGTAAAAGTGCAAGCAATACAGAAATTGTTCTGAAAAAAGCAAAAATCACCAATACCACTCTCACTTATTGTTTGATGTGCATTCTATGTGCATGTGAACACACATAATTTTTTTCCAAATGTATGATTATTTCATATATTCTGCACGTGCTACAGGTATGCATACTGTTCTGTGATATGTTCCTACCTAATAATATAGTAGTCTTCTTTTCATCTCAATGAATATAAACCCTGCTCATTTAAAAAATAGCCCTACAGTATTCCATTTTATTGATGTCTTTTAGTTTATCAATCCCATAGTGATAGAAATTTATTTTTATTCCATTTTGTTGTTGTTCCTTATAATTTGCTCCAACAAATATCTTTGTACAGATATCTCACCTCATTTGTGTATATATTGCTATAAGCTAAATTTCTAGCAATGAAATACTGGATCAGAGGGTATAAGCACTTAAGACATTTTATGGATATTTTGCCTTGAATATATCACACCAAAACATATGAGAGTTCTTGTTTTCTCATACTGTCAAAAACATAGAAGTTTATTAAAGGTTTTAACCCATAACAATTTAGGGTAAAACTTGACTTTTTGTTGTTTTAATTTGCATTTCTTTAATTACTAAAGCAGGTATGAATTTTTAAGTGTTTATTGGCTCTTTATATTTCTCTTCCTAACAGGAGGCATCCTGTTAAGTCCTTGTTGTCCTTATTGATTTGTTGGAGTTCTTTAGATAGAACTTTGTCATGTATTACGATTATTTTACTGCCTTATGTTTACCTTTTGAATTCATAATTTTTTCAAATAGAAATATAATATTTTATATAGATGACTCTGTTAATTTTTATCATAATGTTTTGATTATTATATCATAGTAAGAAAAGACACCTCTACCTTAAAAGTATGTATGTATGCACACATGCACAAACATTCCTACAGTTTATTTTGAAAAAACAGCATTATTACTCATTTTATTCTAAAAGTTTGAGGCTGGACCTTTTTATAAAATGCTATTGCTAATGTTTCAGAGGGTGAGAGCTTGCCAGTTGCTAGGGCTCCTTCTCCGACTGGCATAAATGGGTAAAAGAAATTATTTAAGGGCTAAGGGTATAGTAATTCTCTTAAGGTGTTCATTTCTAGCAGTAAATAATATAAGCTAGTAAGAAGTAAAGATAGCTTTATTTTACTTCCTTGAATTAGCAAATCTTCCCAATCTTAATAATTCTTCTATAACTATAAATTACCATCTATCTTCCAGCCATCATTTTATCACTATTTTGAAAATTTTCAGGTCTCATTTAACAATCTATCTCCAGGCCCTCCAGTTTTAATTTTTGGTCTCATGCCTTCTTCACTAAGAAATGCTTGATTTTCTTTGTCTACTTTTTTAAATAAATTTTTCTCCCTGGTGACTGTTGAAGTCAATTAAGTTTGGGTATGCAGGGGAGAAGTCATCTTGAACATTTCTCTTGTGAAATGATATAGTACATGAGCTCTTGAATGTCCTGTGTTATACAGACCACGGTGGAGAAGCCACTGTTGGTGTCATTAGGGACTAACTAGCGATGACATCAGCTGTGGCCTTCCAGTAGGGGACCTATACCTATGAAAAGAGACTAGCTTTTTATATTGTGCTCTTGCACTGACAATGTAAATAATCTTAGTAGATGAAATAGTTAAATTTTTTCTTATTAGAGGAAAGACACCCTGTATACCTGTTAAGAAGTCTTTAAAGTTTTTTGGTGACAAAGAATGGGCAGGCAATAAATCTGGATGTAAAAATTCGGCATCCAAAAGTACAAAGAAACAGGGAGGAAAATGCAAGAGAAAAAAAAAACACTGTGTGTGTGTTTTCATTTGGCCAGGTTCCTTTCAAAGAACAATGTTGTTAGGGAGAACAAAAAGTACAAAAAAAAAAAAAAATCATCCTTTCAGAAGGCACTCTGGTATAAGATTATTTGCAGGTAAAATAATGAAGTAAACTTAACACTCGATTAGATTTATATTCAGAGTTAAAACACGGAATTGATTTTATAAGCTGGTTCTCTGCAGGCTGTGAAAACAGTGGAACACTGTGGATAGGAAAGTTAAATGAAGTGACTTTCTGATTATCGGGGAAAATGTTGGGGTACCTTATTCACAGAGAAAACAATCTGTCATTTAGGGGTTAGTTTTAGAAAAGATAGCTTAAATGAGGTCACCGAACATCACTTAGGAAGAAAAAATATAAGGACGCAGGAGTATTTCTTATAACATTCTTATCAGAAATATTCAGGCTAAAACTCTTTATCATTTTTTCATTTCTCTTATGAAATTCCTTTGTTGAGATCTGAATTATGGTAAAAGTAACTTTGCTGTTCGTTTGGAAAACAAAAATAGGTCATCATCTTTTCTGACCTTAGGATATATTTACGTTTCTAATCTTAAAACATTTTTTTAAAAAGCTCAGATCTCCCTTATAGAAAGATTGATCTCCTAAGTCCTTCACTATCTATATATTTCTGATATATTTGGCACCTGTAGATAGCAAAGGAAAGCAAGCCTTAATTATATTGGTACTTTGAATATTTTCCAACTATTTGGACACCATTGTTAAAGAAAATTGCTTGTAAGTAAAGACCAATTTAACATCTTTTGATAGCGAAATTCAAAATTTTTTCATAAGCAAAATCACATTGTGGGCAAAAACCTGACAGTAATGTTCAGTCATCAGCTGCTGCCTGAAACAGGCAAATGAGGAAAAAGCACTTGGTAAATTAAAAGCCCTCAAGTCATGTAAATGGCTGGATAAAAAGATGTGTAAATGTGAGGGGCATGGAGGCTATCATCCTTAGCTTCAGGTATGTTAGTCTAATCCAATGAAAGACCCTCTCCTATTCATTGTCAGTGTATTCATGGAGAAGCGGCATGGCCCAGGAGTCAAGGACAACAACTCAGGGTTTGAGTGCCCGGCTCTGACATTTACTAGCTATATAACCTTAGGTAAATTACTTAACCTCTCTGTACCTCAATGTTCTCATCTTAAAATGGGAGAAAATAATACCTATTCATAGAGTTGACCTGAGGATGGAAATAGTTAATATTTATAAAGCACCTAGCATGAATCCTGGCACATAGTAAGCACTATGAAAGTGTTCATTAAATAAAATAAATTACTGACCAAATTGTTTTAGAATGTGTATGCCTAGTTCAAAACAGTCATACAAGAAATCCAAATAGCAGGCTGCTTGCAAGCATTTATTTCATTCTTTGGGAACACAATGTATTCTATCCCTCTTATATGGTCAGTTATCCATGTCCACGTGTTTATAAAATATAGCTATTCAGATGTACTTTGTGTTTTCAATGCTTAATGTTTGTTTAAAACAGTGTCTAAACTTATACCTTGCATCTGAAAATCAGAGTGGACTTTCAAATTCAATGTACATTAATACTTTGTCCTTTGAATTTAAGACCTAAACGTAGGGTCGTGGCTGTTAAACTGGTTCTTTCAACATAACTGTATTGACTAAATAAAAAGGACTGTGTCAGCAAGTGGCAGCTTTAATTACCAGTTTGCTCAGCCACTACCACTTTGCTTGGCAGTTTTACTATTTATAAAAATAAAGGTTCAGATGTGGTGTGATATAGCTCCCCACGGCAAAGTACAGGGGGAGGAGAGGGAAAGACCGGCAGGGTCATGCCACAGCTGTCTTCTCTGGGATTGTAAATCAAGGCATGATTCTTACATGTGAGAATATATTAGCAGAAAAAGGGCTGGGGCAACTGGGGGCAGCCGGGATGTTAGGAGTAGCTGGAGTAGAGTCTCTGAGATGGTAGAGAAGAATATGAATTCAAGATCTTCTTTCACCTTTTATTTGTGTATTTTAACCTACAGGTCAAATACCCAGATAGCTATAAAAATTTGAAAACACGACAAAAATGCAATATAAAATCCCTCCTTAAAACATAATAAACTATAGAACGAGTAGTGTAGTCTCTCCATTTTTTTTTTTTTTTTTTAGTTTGGGGAAATAAAGCTATACGCTTTGTGAAGGCAGGATCCCAATCTGTCCTGATTATGCTATAGCCCTGGTGGCTCAATAACCATTGGTTGAATTAATTCACTGTTGATGAATTTCCTAATTATGTTCTATGAATGACATGCTGGAATTAGCATGACTCTAAACGTCAGAGCATCATTTAATGCTGGTATTTCTTTTTAAGTGATTTGAAAGATTTTTAAAAATTTTTTAAGAAAAAAATAAAATCATTAATTTTAAGAAGAATGTTTACAGTGTATCAAAGCAATAGCTGTGGCCAGGATTCTCTCCCTTTCAATTTCGAATGTGATAAAGTCAGAGAATACCACCATATAAAACAGAAACTACATGATGCCATTTTTTAACAAAGTAAATGCTTTGTATTTGTACATTGAGCAAGAGAAAGAACTAAAATGAGACTGATATTCATATTGGGAGTATTTGACCTAGCAACTTTGAATTTTCTCCTTTTTTATTTTTCTCCCACCATACCCTACTCCATCCTTCCCTCCTACTTTATCAGCAATATAACAACAAGCATAATCAAGTCCCTGCCCTCATGGAGCAGACATTCTAGTGGGAAGAGAAAGACAAACATGCAAAAACAAACAAACAAAAACAACGTTAAACAATATGATTCAATTAGTGACACATGGAACATAAAATGAATATAGGGATAGAAAATGACTGGGTGGTGGTGGTGGGGAAGGTGAGGACAATTGATTATAGAGATCAAGGAAAGTCTGGCTGAGGAGATGACATCTAGTATAAGATCTGAATAGAGAAAAGAAAACAGCCACGTAAGGATCTGGGGGAGAGAACATTCCAGATAGTGGAAAATTGAGCAAAGAAATTGGTAAACTCTAATTTCTCTGCTTCAAATGTAATCTTCCAGATTAAGTTTTCTTTCTCTGCAAATCCAGCCCCAGTTTTCTTAAACACAGCATGTAACAGCTTTCTGTCAACCCCAGCAGCTAGCACAAGGCCTGTTATAGAGTAGGGGTTTAAATAAAGAGCAATGGCTATGTGTGATCTCTGTGAATCACACCTGTTCTGTTAAGCTCTAAACTGTCAATCATGGCTACCTATGAGCTGAGATACAAACAGAAACTTCTAGAAACCACAAAAAGAACTACTAGCAACAAAATGAGAGGTTCGTTATTAATGCCACTTAGATAATCTTTCACTTTTCACATAACTTTGGCTTTGCCAACTCGGCAACTTACCATGCCCAGTATACTCAAAAGAATCTGCTTCATCAGGGGTATCGAGTTCATCCACATTGATATCAATTTCATCTGGACTGTCCAGGTTATCATCAGAGAGAATAGACCCTTCACTTTGGTCCAGAGAAAGATTGATATTTGGGGCTGTGAGCTTGATTCTCTGAGGGTGAGCGCCATTAAGGTCCAGAGAATTAGGAGGTTCTAAAGAAGATGAAAAATAACAAAATCAAGTATTAGAACATATACATGGCTGCCAGGAGTGGGTATGGGCTCTAGTGGAATAACATTTGTAAGGCCCTTTCAGCAAAGGCAGACCTGCTAAAAAAAAAAAACCCTTAGATGGGATTTGGACCCTCTTCTTGCCCAGCAGATTGGCTTGCCCCAGCTCCTTTGGCCTTGGCTGCATAGAAATTACAAGTGGGAGTCATTGTTAAATGTGCAGACAACTAGTTTATAGAACTGCCCTGTTCAGTTTTGAGGACTTGAAATTGATATAATATTGAATTTTTATGGTGCATATCACATAAAAAAAACTTAGTTAAGCTTACACATATGTTATAATGGTTCCTGTAGCCTTTACTTCTGTGGAATGGAGGGTAAGAATTTTACCTGTTATATTGACATATGCTCCTCAAATATTTTTCTTCAGTTTCTGACAACTCTGTGTATGATGTGCAGTGACCTTTCTTTGGCTGACATTCTTTTTTTGTTTGTTTTAATAAAATCAAGGTACACTCCCAGATTACATTGTCCAATCAAGTATTTGTGATTTCTTATGCTGGTATTGCTTGACATTGGTTCTCATACTGTAAGTGACAGTTTTATGTTAAGTAGCTCCTACCCTGTCATTGTAATACACATCTACCACAACTATGACTTTCACTTAAGAGAAGCAGAGCTAGAGAAGTCATTTTTAACCAAGTTGATTCCAACTAAACAATGGTAGAGAAACAGCCTAAAAGTAGAAATTCCAGGAGGCCCCATCACAAATTATTTTGGAGGCCATCTGGTATAACTCTCAGTTCTGGAATTCTAACTCTGGTCTTGTCCCAAGGGACATGACACTGTTTCTTTGTCACTAAGATTTTTCTTTTCAGTGTAGAACATCACCCAAACTGCTTTCCATGTAATGTTTGTATGTATTATATGAAAAAAGGTTCTATTGACCAATAAGTTTGAAAAACAGTAGACTTTTATAGTATAGGAATTCTCAAAGAAATCTTACCTCAAATCATTTTTTGTAATGATAGAAATGTTGATCACTTGAAATGAAGCTAGTGCAACTAAAGAATTCAACTTTTCAAATTTATTTTAAATTTTAATTAATTTAAATAGTCACATATGGCTAATTGCTACCATACAGGATAACCATAGGCTTTAGTGCCTTTACTATTCAAAGTGCATTGTGAACCTCAAAGAGTGGAGTAGACATACTGTGGTCACCATGCTTACTTGGCTATAGAACATTTAAAAATAATTATGTCACATGACTAGTATTTTGAAGAATGCACTTTAAATACTTGAGCAGAAAAAAAATTAATTGACCCCCTTCTTCCTACTCCATGCAAGGGCTCAGGATCTTGGTATGATCCTGATGCTGGCACAGTGCAAAGGAGTGACGTTAGTGTAAAGTGAGAGTCATACAGATTGTAACAGAAATCTTAAAATTCCCTGTGGTATGTGTCTTGGATTGCAAACCCTTAAGGTGTAGGGTTTTTTCCCTTTTCTTTTAATAGTCAGGATACTGATTCTTTTTAATATCACATTTCTAATTTTAAACATTCTCACACTTAAGTATAAATTGGGTGAACTTAGATATTAGTTAGAATTCGGTATTGTTACACAGTAGCCAATTGTCACTGGAACTGAAAACATTAGCTGATCAAGCCGTGGCTCAGGGTCTAAAAGGTGGCCCACACCAGTGAGCATCAATATTCAAGTCAACTCTGAAATTAGCCAAATTGAGCTTAACACCTTACTCGCATTTTTTTTTTCTTCTCTTCACTTTTATCACTGAAATCACAAGTTGGATGCACAGGAAATGGATTTCTCACTGAATAAGGACACCGTTCGGATATAAAATACCACTGAAGGAACTGAACAAATGCTCCTCTCACCAGGCCTCATGTCTGCAGCACTGGGGCTCAGCATTCCCTCCTCAAAGGGGACATCCATTCCTACATCCTCTGACAGTTGTCTGAAAGAAAGCAAAGGGTGTAAAACATTGTATGGGGTTTAATTTTCTTTGAAAAGGAAACCCAGAGATTCCAGGATAACATTTTTAACTCACTTGGCATAAACCAAATACGCATACTGAATCCATTGTAAGTGGCCCCAAATTAGAATAAAGACTCTCTGCAGTCAGTGTGAATGAGAACCATGGACACCAGCTTTACTCTGTGTGTGCAGAAGTCACTTCTCCTACCAGCTCACATAAGTAAACATACCCCAAGTCAAAGACTCAGAAACAGGGAAAGTAAATAACTAATAAAAGATACTTAAGAGGGCATTTAATACATATTTTTTCAACAAGAGAGGCAATATATGTGCTTTAGAGTAAAGACAGATCTGATTTTGTATATATCGTCCTCTGTGTAAATTTGGGCATATAATTTAAACTGCTGTGGGCAGAGAAAAGCATACTTAGAGAGTCTCATCTTCTTCATTTTTAAAATAAGGATATACTACCTACTTCAATGAGTTTTGAAAGACTGAGCAATTGACTAACATTCCTGAAAATGTACGAACAAATGTTATTTTCCTCAATTCTTTGAAAATCTAAAACTTCATTGTTAATTACACATTGGTGAAGACAGTTCTGGTCATGAGTTACCATCACCCCTCTCTAATTAGTGCCAATCCCAAGACCATTTATGATAGCCTATTTGGTAAGATAAGTGTAGGGGAACAGGAAAATGCTGGAGAAAATAGTGACAAATCTATATACTCTTGTAGGAAGCTGACCACTATTCACAATTCCCCTTGACTTATTTTTCATCTCCCATCCATCGTTCAGTAAATCCCCATTTATCATGATACATTTTTCTTCTTGGTGGTTTCCACATTATTTCACTCACCTAGAGTGAATCCTTGCAATGTAGGCACTAATCTAAATTAATTAATTAGTTAATTAATTAATATTATTATTATTATTTATGCCTACAGCACCTGGTCTTCCTGAGTGGTCTCCCATCCAAGTACTAACCAAGATCAGACATCGGGCTTGTTCAGGGTGGCATGGCCGTACACCATGGACTGTGACTTCACTGGGGTGCAAACCCAGGACCTTCTGCGTGTAAAGCAGACGTGCTAGCTGCTACACTATGGAAACACGTCCGGCACTAATCTAAATTTAAACACGATAAACTTTTGTGTTAAAGTTCTAAATTTGGTCCCTTACTTTCTCTCTTATTGAGACTTCTCTCCATTTCAGTCTGGACCTACCAAACATTTGGAGTTTGCTTACGTGGATGACCAATTTCTCCAGGATCCAAGTTAAACCCCTGTTGTCAAGAATGCACTATGATAAAAGCAAAATTATATATGTTTCTAGTAATAACTGTACTTACTTTATTTATTCAACAAATAAGTATTGAGCGTCTACTACATGCTGAGGATATAGAGGAAAAAAATAGACCAGCCTCATTCTTGTGGTGGAGATGGGATGATGGGGTTAAAATAATGATGACTAACACCAATAACTTAGTGCTGCTCCCCTGAGAGAAGTAAATGCCCGTTTCCTTACCCACCAACCCCACAGATCCCTTCAAAAACAACCTTAGGGAGATTCTTTCTCCATACATTTGCTATGGTTTCTATCCTGTATATCCTCTAAAATGAATTCTGCACCCTAGAGGAAAAACAGTGAGCAAGAAGTTGATGTATGAGTCAAAAGCAATAATGTATTGGCAGAAACAGGATAAACTGTGCCAAACAGAGACACAGCATACTGACTGGCAGCAAACCAAATTGCCCAGTAAAAGCGACAGGAGAGGTGAGTAAAGAGAAGGCCTGTGCTAGGCTCCAGCTCTGCATCTTGGGACCTGATGCCCAGGTTTCTCATGCTGCTGCAGTTTCCCAATTTCCTCAAAAAGGAAAGTTATCTCTCAGTTTCCTGAAGTTATCTGTGTGTGTTCTCTTTGACATCAACCCTGTAGTAACCTGTAAAGTGGCAAAATGCTGCTAAGAGCAGCTGGACTAAAATCTTAGTGCTATCACTTATTTGTGTTCTATCGCCAGTTATTCAGTTTCCTCACCAATAAAAGGGAGAGACTATGCAATGCCTAAAAAACTCTTATATGGGATAACACTGAAAGATAAGAACGTTTTCTATTACTATTGCAGTTCTTTTTGCTATCTATTATAATGGCTTTTTCCATTAGCTGTGAAACTTCATGAGGACAGGAACCATGTCCATCTTCTTTGCTGTTATGTCTTCAGCACCTGGTAAAAATAACTACATGATAGATATGTGGATTGAATTATCGAGCTTGAAATACCCTAAATGCACATTACAATATTTTCGCTAGTCCTCTGCCTATAAGTCAATCTGAAAAAATAAATAAATAAAAAGATATCATTGTATCACTACCAGCCTGACAGAGCACATAAAGGTACTGGCCTTTAATCCAAAGTAAAAATGGAGCATTTTTAAATAGACAGATAGTATCGGTCTTAAAGTTTTGTGGATTTTGTTAATGTTTGTGAGTTATGGGCAACATCATGGAATAAGTGAAAGAGTCCTAGATATGAGGGTATAGTTCTGGGTCATAGTTCCACTGCTAGTACTGTCAAGATGATTAACTCTAAGAAAACTGACTGAGCACCTTTGCGATTTTAAATAGAGATAATAAATACCTAATATCACAATGACCATGGAAAATAAATATAATACATACAAAAGCACTCTGTAATTTGTAAAGCATTAAGTTTGAGGTATTACATTTCCTCATTTTTAACATACTATCAGGATCAGTGATTTAATTGAAGTATGTGTCATGGTTGGACAAAACATAATTGAGGTTACTATAATTTGGGTAAGGGTGAACTCCAGGACTGCACAAGTCTCCATAGAGCCTGTAAGTACCCTTGAACTCACTGACATTAGTGAGTACAGCCTTTGTCTCTCCACACTCCTTTGCAACACAGAGAAGGGACCTTTTCAAGAAGGTGCTAGAAAGCCAATGGTGGCATGCATGGGGGAAGGGAAAAGCTGAAGGCTGTGATCAGAGGAGAGGCACTCTCACAAACCCATGGATATTGCAGAAGACCATGGGGATATATTAGGAAATCCCAGGAACAGAGAGGGAAGCTGAACTAGAAAAGCCCAGAGGCATACCTGGGAGAAACCCAGTTGCACTGATTGTAAATACTTCAACCACGTTTATACTTTAGGTCCATAAATCTCTGTAGAATGAAGTGGGCAAAACAGAGTACTTGGCGACTGTGGAGGATGGAGATTTACAATTGGTAATGGAAGCTTCTTGAGACTTGTTAGGTAACAAATTATTCCAGCATGAAGGGAAGTATTTTACCTTATCTAGCCATACCAACTACTTAATTTAGGGTTTTCCGTGTACAGAATAGAGCTACCAAAGAGGCTGAGGAAGTTGTAAACACAAGTTTGACTCTACTATGGCTGACCTACGAAACAGATGCTCAGCTCTACATCTCCATCTAGAGGATGGATCCAAAACTGTTTGCTGGATAGTTTATAATCATTATAAACCAAATACTTACTTCATCAGATATTTCTGGATCTCGGCCTTTGGGGCACATGGTAAAATTGTACTTAGGGCAGTCACATGAGTTGCTTTGACAAATTAAATGAGAGGAGGAGTAGCAGGTGTCACTTCCGGTCAGAAGAATTAAGAGGAAGTGCCATGTGCTCTTTCCAGCCTTGGTGTGGAAGGGCTCTAGCAGGCTGTGGCAGAGTTACTGTGAGGAACAGAGGTCCCAATTAAAGCCCATTGGATATGTGAACAAAAAAGAAATTTTTGTTTCGTTTTGCTCTGAGATGTTAGGATTCTCTGTTACCACATCCTAACCTAGCCCATTCTGACTAGCAAGGCTGGCCTTTATTGTATGTTTTGAAGGGACTATCTGACTCACACTGTGCCCTAATTTAGATAACCCATTTCCCATATTTTCAACCCAGGCTCATGTTAATGGTACACATTTTCTTGTCTGAAAAGCATAAAAGAACATTTTTAAAAATGGGAACAAAAGCTAGCAAAGGCATCAAATGCTTTCAATTATTCCATAAACTTGAGTATTAACATATCATCTTAATGGTTTTTTCATAGCCATTTGGCACTTACAAATTTGTTTAATATTTTTCTTTAAATCAACTTGTTTGAGTTAAGTAAACTTATTTTGAAAGAAAGCATTATATCACTAGTATATATGGAAACTTAGAATCACTCACCTAAAAAAAAAGTCATATAAATTAAATCTAATAAAAATAAAACAATGTTATCATATTCAAGGCAGAACCCCCTTCAGGGCTCTCTGAGACTTTCCCTTTTTGTTAAAAAAAAAAAAAAAGAGAGAGAGAGAGAGATTAAAAAGTGTCTGGTAAGATATAATGCCATGTACCATTATAAATACAAAGAAATGCTATACAAGATAGAATATCTCGGAAGTAATTTAATACATTTTCAAATTTGAAAGAAACCAGGAAAAGTCCCCAAGTGCCAGAAATGAAGACTTATTCTAGAAAGCCGAGTAGAAGGAAGCACACAGGATTTTTGGAATGAATTTAGGCCTTCAGGCCCCAAAAGAGAAATGATTCTAGGTACTAGAAGAAAAGTCTAGACATGAACTTTCTAAATAAGGCGTTGAACTTTAAAGAACTGCTTCCTTAATGAAAAGGGGATGAGAACAAATTCTATCCACTGGCCTTGGAAAACATAGTCTGCCTGGATTCTTGGGTGGAAATAAAAAGCAACCTATGAGAATTAGAGACATTAATTGTGTTTCTTAATTTATTTCACCTGAATGATGCAGGAAACTCAAGTCGAGAAGTTAAAATTAAAATTCATCTAGGACCATCGATGATCTGGAGCCCTAGGGTTCCAGAAGATTCAATTGTGAAACCACTTGGTAGTGCTACTTCTACAATCTAGAATTCACTGGAAATCTACTTAGGAGAAAGGAAAAACCCTTAGAAAAATGAGCTCACACCAAAATAAACAT